CACACTAATGAGAATAAATTCAATTGAAGTGTAAGTTAAAATATATAATTATGACTTTTAATTTTCTATTAATTCTGAATATTAAAATAAAGGAACACTGAAAATTAAAATCAATTTTTAAAACTCAAGTTACAACACATACTAGACGTAAATATCTGGGAAAAGAAGCTGTCCTAACACTACACTACCTGATTAGCTCAACCACCGTTGAGTCGAACTCCGCTTGAATTATAATTCGAGCCGAGATGCATGTTTGATAATCATTATACAAAAAATCTTTTTGCTACGTACTCATTTTCAACCGCCCATTCACCAAGTAAAATATTTTGTACATAAATTCAAAACTTTAGATTACTTTTTAACTGCACATTTTCCAAAAATTCATTATTCAAAATTTTTTTTTTTACCAAACAATGGCCATCATACAGGGCATGGACAATGCTTTTGACATGGATATATGTCAAGCCACATGGCCAGATTGAAGTTTCATGTTCTAACCTAGCATCGAGAAAAGGAAACATGTCTTTGTTTACTTGCTTGCAACCAATTAGGACTCGTACTGGAACAAGAAAATGCTTTGCAGCAATCCGATAAATATGATATCTGGCCCTCTATTGAAGTCACTCCGTGAAGGCCATGGAGCCTATATCCATATAAGAAAGTCACTCTTAAAGATGGCAATTGAAGAGTTAAAACAAAATAAATACACTTGCATCAGGCGTTTATATATTTCATCAAACTTCCCACGATTTTTCCTAGAATAAGTCGACATCTGCTCAATACACATTTCATGAAGCTTTCCACATTTTTTCCTAGACTTGAGCGTCAGAGTAAAATACGCACCCATCTTCTGATGATGACTGATGTTTACACCACCTTTATAGTTTGAAAATGAACACGAAAATGAAGAGTATCAAAGTCAATGGGAGAAACTCAAGCACCAAAACCTATGATGACAAGTTGTAATGGGATGAAATATTTATTTATCACAACTTTGCGATATGGATAAAATTACAAAATGAAATTTTGCATAGAGACGGAACTTATAATCCATGTTTGTCACACTACTATGTTCCACCATAATTCCTTTCCAATCTCTCTCTCTCTCTCTTATTATTATTATTATTTTTTTTATTCCAAGATGAAACGGCAAATAATTTCATTAATCAATATCATCACAAACTGCAGTGGCAATATAATTCATTTTGCAAGTCCAATAAAACAAAAACACAAATTTTAGCAGCCAAATCCCAAATGATGGATCTCAAAAGACGGCCGTTTCTGGTACCAAACAGAAAAATCCCAACAAAATCTTGCAGAAGCACAATATAACACAATAACAACAAATAAAAAAATGAAAAATCTGCTAAATGATTAATGTTTTCACTTCATTGGGAACTTTCAAGACCACTACAAAGTATAGAGAAGACAACACAATGCGTCTCTTTCTGATTTTTGCAGAAATTTCATTGAGATAAAAGAACAGGAGTAGAAGATATAAAATTAATAATAATACAATAAAGCAAGTACATTGCTGAAGTCCCTGAGGATAAAATATGACTAATATAACTATTGTGGCCAGTAACATGCAAGTACAGTGCATGAAAGACCTTAGAAATGTCTTCACCTTGATGAACTATTAAGTCACAAAGAGACAGAAAGATCTATATAATTCGCTTTATGTATCTCTCTTGTTGACAAATAGACCAGTAAATCTAGGACTTGCAGCATCAGCAGCTTGTAGATCACATAAAGAGAAAGATCGCAACGAAGTAAACTTCTCAACGGGAGATGATGATAAAGATTCACAATTTGTAGGCCTTCTTGCATGCGGTGGTAGAGGAGGAAGGCAGCGATTAGGTGAGGAAGAATTCGAGCTAGAAGCGCTGCTGTTATTACTCATAGTCGCTGCAAGAGCCAATGTGCTTCTAGAGTTGGCTGATCTTTTTGATATCCCACCGCTGTTGCTTCTTAAATTGTTACTAAAATTCTTGTCCAAGAAATACTTGTGTGCAAGCAAGTTCTTGCGTCTGCGGGTGTAAGCATTTTCTGGTTTAGCCATGTCTTTTGCGGAGAATAATGATGTAACATCAGATAGACTGGTATAACTTTTGGATTTACCACAATAGAACTTTGATATACTTCTCCTGAATCAAGTGAACAGAAGCAATCAGGAAATTGTAACATGAAAAACAGAAGAAAGTATAACTTCTACTCCCTATTTTGAAAGAGCGAGAAGAAATATTGCATGAAAAGAATGTTTGACAGATCCAGGAATTTAAAAACCATAGCATCTGTTGTATAATACATGCAGTTTCTTAAGGCTGAGCACACCCCCAAAAAAGCAAGCTGAACAAATTCTATTGACAAAAACTATTCAAACAGCTAGCTTAACTCATCTGATTTCCAAGTCTCGAACAACAATATGGAAGTTCACCTCTCTAATATACTATTTATCATGGTTATAAAAAGATACGAAACATGGTTTCAATTATGATAATATGCCACTATACAGAAACATCTATCAGCAGGGTACAATATATTGAACCAACCCCCCCTTTCTCTTCTCTCCAAAAAAATAAATAAATAAATAAAAATAAAAAGGGGGAATAGAAACTTGTCTTCATTTTCTTAACAAGACAATCTTGAATGAGCTATAATTGACCCAATATAGGTTGAGCTTGAATAGTTGAATACTTTTATTCAATGCTTCTTAACTATTAGCCTTCTCAAGCTGAACTTTATAAACTTACAAACTGTAAAAGATTTCCAAATTGCATATCTAACTGTCAAACTTATTTCTAATATCACTGAATGATCCCATCCCCACTCAACTTCCGGTGCGCCTGTCCCTTTTTTACAAACTATCTAGCAGAAACTTCTAATGATCGGGGAGATATTGGGACAAAAATACTTCAAAAAACAGAGAACTTGAAACAATAAAATATATCACCAATCTTATGCCGCCCTCATGATAATGCATATCATCACTAGTCACAAAACCATATACTTTTCACACGGAAGAATAGCAACTTCAAGCATTCAAGACTACATTAAATGGGCTCTTATACTTGGATATTAGTGTTGGCATCTTGGTATGCACCTGGCACTTTAAATGAGCATTTATGTTTTATAGTATATCTGAAGATCTCGAGCTAGATATATAGCTACTTTACCAAATCTTAATAACAAAGAAAATATAAAAGAATGCAAAATAAAGCGCTAAACCTCACTGAACATATTGCTATACCTAACCAAATTCAAAACCAATGGAAGAGAGAAAATATTTCCTTTCCTTTGCTCATTACATGTTATCCAACAGTCTAGTTATTTCATACAACTTCCATTCGTCAGTTGAAGGGACCGTACAAACTAATGGCCTTTGATTAAGTTGGGCATTTAATTTATGACTACTTTCTTTCAAACCTTTTGGTAAAATCAATTTTTTGTATTGAGGAAATTTCCTAATTGCCTTGCAATGTGCAAAGTGAAAAATAGCCCTATTTTCTAATTTATAGTTCATCTGTGGGGATTCATCACAACTGGTGTTAATCTTCAATGCACGGATGTGTGAGAAAGATGTCACACAGGAGGAGGAGGAGAAGAGGAAGTGCATGAGTATTTTTGGAGTTTCTATTTTTTGAAAGATGCTTAAAAAAATTATAAAAATAAGTCCTTTTTTTCATTTTTACTCCTGCCTACCTGAGGAAATCTCCTTTAGTTTCTGAATTCCTAAGAAAATTTTAACCAGAAAAATCCTAAACAAAATCGGGAAAAAGCAAAAACCCTAAACCAACAAAAGTCTTGCCGTAAAACACATAAAAATTAATGCATACTCCAATTCATCAAAATAAAACGCTAAAAATCCTAAATTCGAAAATCAGCAATTTTCACGAAAAGATCACAAGTAAAAAAATAATTAAAAAAAATCACATACTTCGCGGGCAAAACTTCATCTAAAGCATCCAAACTGTCCAGGGCCCCTTTATTGTATTCACTCTGCACCTCTTCACCTTCGCCGTCGCCTGACACCTCCTCATCACTGTTCTTCCCAATCGAAGACGTCGATGACGACGACACAGAGTCGGTCCGGTCCTCATCCTCAGGCTCTACTTCTGCTAGCCTTCGATCAGCAGCCGGAAAATCCTGTGAGTTATAAATAGGAGAGACAAAATTCATCTGGTGTCGAGCAAAACCCGAAAGTTCGATCCGATGATCGTTGCCGGGACTATTTCTCTCGAACGTTATTGACATACTGTTGATACTGTTTCGAGAAATCGACAGATATATGTATATAGACGTGTATATATGGAGAGAGAAAGTGAGGTATCTAGAGAGAGAAAGGAAGATGAAATGAACGGGGAAGAAGGTCAGCCTAAGTCTTATCTTTATCCAGACAAAGGCCACATTATATTGTCAAATTGGAAAAAACAAGATTATCTTCTTCAAATTTTTAATTTAGTACCGGGAATAGTTTCAGTGCTACGCGGTGTACTGTTACGGGGAATTGGTTCATCTCTGATGCAATCTAAACCATCAACTTCGTCAAAAGGCGATGACCTAATTTTCACTGCAGTTGCATGGTGGTATATACACGTGGCCTTTGTTATACTTGCGGCTAAAAATAAATAAATAAAGTAATTCGATTTTACCAAATAGAATATATTTGTAAATAAGGAAATATACAATTAATTTGGTCCTAATGATGGAATAGCTAGTAGTGCTATCCATATCTTAAGAGAAAATGGACATTTCTCCTCGTACGGCAAAGGGCAGGGATGGATTTAGGGGTAGCCCGATCCAGCCTCCAGTTCATTTAAAAAAAATTCTTGTGTAAATTTTTTTTTTTTTTACGTTAGTCCGATCTGTAATTCGATCATGAATCCGTCCATGACACAAGGCAGTACAAACTGCATAAAGAAACTAGCACGGCTCCCAACTTGGAGTTGAACCCCTCTCCGAGGTTTGAGCACTCCTCACAAAAGTGCATTTTGAAAGGATGAAATATTTGAGTTTCATATAGTCTTTCAAGTTTCTACTGTACCCACGCCTTTCCCTCCACTTGTACTTAATGATGTTTATTCATTATACAACTAGGTAACATACGAAATAAAATAGATATAATTGATTTTTTTTTTACTAATAATGTCTTTATTTATTAATGGAAGGAGAATAGATTATGATATACTAGCTTTAAAAACATTCATAAAATATAAAATTTTCTTTTTTCCATAAATAATTACACCTCAACGTTACTTTTTCAACTCCTATGTGTCCTGCATTTTCAATATTATAATAAAAATTCTTTATTTCATAAACTTAATATATTATAAATTATACAAGACAAAAATATTGAGAAAAATAAAGATAACCAAAATAATGTTCCATGTCACGTGTATAAGAACATCTTCAAAAGGTTCTCTATTTATAATTTTCATTTAGCGTATAATAAAGATTATCTTTAAATTTAAAGAGTAATATTTTTATTATCAATTTAATATATAATTTAAATAATTCAAGAAGTAGAGTACCGAAAACTGTAACTTTTTAAATGAATTCATCATAATAGAGAAACTCGCTCTATCTTTTAGAAATCTAAAATAGATAATTTCTTAGAGCTTAATTTTAAACATTAAGATTATAGATAACTTAAAGAATATTTACATAATGCGATGACCATAACGGTGTTCACCCCCTCACATGGGGGGGACCCACTTCGAATAAAATATAATATATCCGAAGTAGGTCCCCTTACATGTGATGGGATGGACACCGTTATGGACACCGCATTATGTATAAGTAGCATATTCCTTTTGAAAATTTTACGAGCTTGTGAATAGTTATAGACTAAAAGCATATTTTCTATAATTTTTATTTAAATATACAACGAGAATTGAAAAGAAACTTGAAAATCAAACAGCGTGTTAACTGGTTGAACTCATTTTCCAAGAAACAATCACTCGTTGAAAGAAAGAATGAATTTAGAAGAATTTGATGATAAAGGTCGAAAAAAGACAATCACTCATTCATAAAATTAATGTTCTTTAAAAATCAAGGAGTCGGACGAAAACACAACGAAATAATCTGATTGAAAATATGTAAACACGACATGTTAAGAACGTGTTGATCCCGACCACACATTTAAGGGATTTTGATTTTCCAAAGCAAAATGTATGTGGGCCCAGCCCAGTGTTTCTTAGGATAATGGATAATGGTTGGTCGGCGTTGGCGTGCACCGTTTTGCCTCCTGGAACCACTCTTTCCAATTATTAATTGCTAGCCGAGCCGCTTAAATTCACGTTAGTGAACGTCGTCGTTTCAAAGAACTTTTCATTTTAGGGTTGTTAGCCACTAGAAATTTCATTTAGATGTAATCGGGAATTTCGAAAAAGGGTGATTATATCAACACCATAGTTTTTATCAGTGTTATAAGAAGCGTGATTAGACTTGGAGGCCAAGTTTCAACCTTTACGAGCCTAGGCGAAGTTTAGGCGTAAAAAAACGTTTTTTATTTTAAATTTTATTTTAAATTTTTAATCATTGTAAAAAAATTCAATAATTCAAATAATACATACCAAACATCTAAAATTATAAGATACTGTATTTACTTAATAATTCTTACATAAAGATAAGTTTCAAAATCATAATTACATAATGTAAATAACTTGTAGCTTAAATTTCTAATTTGACTCTTTATCGGACTCCAATTCAATATCTTCTTCGTCTAATTCGTCCTCCGTATCGTCTAATACAAAATCATCATTCTCTGGCTCTCTTATTTCATTTTGATTATTTCTTATACATATTTTATACCCAAATTAGTGCGGTGTGCGTAGAAATTGAGAGGTTGTGCGCCGTTCTTCGATCTTTTTTTCTCGTTCTTCCGTCTTCGCAGTTCTCTGGAGTCTAGAGTTTTTGAAGTTTGAAAGGATAGTGGGCTACTCAGTCTCGGCTGTGGGTTTTATTTTTAAAAAAGAAAAAATTGGATCCCCTTAAAATCTAGGCCTGAGGCGGAGGTGCGCCTAGGCGAACATTAAGCGGTCAACATTGTCATTGACCACTTAATTCCCGCTTAGACTTAAGGCGAAGCATTTTCATCACGCTTCCCGTCTAGGCTTCGCTTTTTAGAACACTAGTTTTTATTTGTCATACTATGTTTTAATTACAGTTAAATTATTCTATCTTTGTTCATTGTATCAATTATTTTCTATTTTTTTCCTAACCTTCCATTAATTAGTATATCTTGACATTGACGATGATTTATGTCAAAATATTTATGTTCTATCCTTTGAAATGTTGAAAAAAAAATATTTTTTTGAACTTTTTATTTACTAATTTTTAAAAAATATGACGACGAAATAAGTTTTATGTCATTTAAACGAAATTTTTGGACATAAATTGTTATCAGTCACAAAGTGTGTTAACTAATGAAAAGTTGAAGACGAGTATGTAATGAAAAATTAAAGGACATGAGTGTTATAGTGCAAAAAGATTAAAAACCATAAGTGCAATAAAAGTTTGGTATAAAAAATAATAATTGTGGTGTAAATATAATTAATATTTCGAAAAAGATCTTACTCCTATTGTCCCTAAATCGTAGTTACCTATGCTAGAGCGAAATTAATGTAAATAATTTTTTACCATGATTATCGAGGGACATAGGTAACATATTTAAATTATAATTATTATTTTAGTCGCTCAATAAATGTTTAAAAAATTATTTTCTTCCAATTAAACAATCACATAATCCGTACTTCATTAGAGATGTACACATCCATCATCACAACTAACAAAAAGAAATTGAAGACCGAGTGATTTATTGAGTTGTAAACTAGTTTCCAAAAGTAGTTATGAATTGGACCATTTACAAAATAAAGGTCTCTTACAATTCTAGATACAAGAAGAACATTGGACGTAAGATGTTGATGGGAAAAAGCCAATGTTCATGTCTCTCATCACACCAACGTTACAAAAATGTAAGCAACAATAAATAGGAGCTGTCCCATGCACTCGAATGGACCCAAAACTATGGCATTGCATCAAAATAAATCCAAGATAATTTGTAGAACACATCACAACAAGAAACATAACCCATGATTTCATATCACAACCACCAACTAGGCCAACTCCCATTGGATTATTAGCTCTCGCGAACTCTTTTGAGAGTTTTTTTAGCAAAGATATCCACACATCTTTAGTAAGTTTTTAGACTCCACCAAAGAAGGTTGATTGGCGTTAAGATTCCCCCAACCATGCTTATATCATTAAAAAAATAAAAAATAAAATAAAATATGGAGAAAGAGGGGGACATAAAACTGAAGCAACAAATGTAATAATAACAGTAAAAAAGCAGTAAATGAGGAGTACTACTCTCTGAACAATGCAAGCAAATTAAAATAAAAAAGAAGTATTCAATCAAAATCAGTCAAATCAACTCACGGTATTATACATAGTCAAAAGCATGTGCTAAAACCCCTCATTCAGGTGCATATATATAGTCTTTGGAAAGCCCATTCGTATGCATATACAGTCCTGATGCAACTAAGGGTGCCTGCCAATTTCCAACAATGAATATAATAATGTTTAAGAGAAATTTTATTGTTTGAAACATGTTAAAAGTCAGAGGGGACACTGGATTTAATCTCTGATATTCTGATTTAGATTACACAAGAGAACACAGTTGGGATTATAAATTCACATATCAATATTGGAGGAATTGAAAGAAGAAATATTCTGCGTAAACTGCATAGCCTGGAGATATTGCTGTACATTTTTGCATTAACAGGGAAAAATATGCATTGTGTATAGAGGACATAACATCATTCCCTTGCTTCGCCCTTAATATTCCTTGAAGGAAGGGGAAATGAGAAGAACCAAAGGACCTAGGAATCGATGAAGACACCCTGGGGACAATAAAGATAATTACTGATCCAGCTGTGGAGTAGGTTCAACTTGTTCTTGTGTTGTTTGGCTCTTTAATGTTGTCATTTTCTTTTGGAGTTCCAAATTTGACATCCGCTCAACCTCCAATGCACGCTCAAGCTTTTATTCATCAAGCAAAATATGTTAGTATAATCAAACAGGAAATGTAATTTTATCCATGACCAAGTTTAAAGCATAAGAAGTGTCATACCTTAGCTGCTCTGGTACTCCACTCCCCTAGTATGGCTCTAAGCCTTTCATTCTCCTCAACATACTGCTAGTAGCATTGGCAATGATGAGTCACAAGGAATGAAAGAATGACTTGAATATACACGTTGTTTGAAGGAATGTGATGGCAATTTAAAAAGATCAAGTATTTTGAGTTAGCATAGTTTCCTTGAGATAAAACATATTCTTTGCCTTTGGATACGATCGTGTAGAGTCTGATGCCATTGGTTAACTAGTTGACAATAAGATTGCCAAGTGTTTTGCTGACAAAAACTGGAAACTAATGGTAAAGTTTAAGCATAAAACTAAAGAGAAGAAATTTTTAAGTACATTATTGATGATTGTCTACTGATTCTGTTCTCAATTCAGCCTCATTTGATGAGGGCATTCAGCCTATAGTCCAGTGATAAGTTGAGCTAATAAATGCTGAGCTCTGACAGGGCATAAAGATGTATAAAAAATTGAACGGGACACTCTCTTACTGGATTATTGGCCTTGTTGCTCATCTCTAACACCTAATGTGATACTTGGTTTGATCTCAACAAATTGTTGCTTGTCTTTACTTTGGATGGAAATGAATAACTGGACAATAAAGACTCGTTACACAAACTATATAGAAAACATATCTTTTTGCTATTTACCTGACTGTTTGTTCCACGAATTCCTTGGATTTCCGAGTCCCTTTCGGCAATCAGAGATCGTGCAAGCCTTAGCTCAGACTGCAATTGATTCATCTGAAAGGCAAAAACTTATGAGCATCTAATGCATAAGGAGACAAATAAATAAATAAATAAAAATAAAATATGTTTCTGTGCAACTCTCATAACTTTGGAACCTATACTTCGGAAACGTTTATGTCACGAAGTATATGCTGATTCCTTAAAAGACCAAGTCCCATCGGTATCTCTGTCTGCGACAATTAACCTAGAAATATAAATAACATGTGGAAGTGCAAGGTTTCAACTCAGGATAGAAAAATACTGGAGTGCCATCTTTACAGAAAGGAAGACACTTCCGTGAGACAAAAATGTCAAAGATTCAAACTGCACCAGAAAAATTCCAGCTATTCAATGTTTTTTATTCGGTCTTTTTATTGAGAGTTTGAGACATTAGATGCTCCCGTTACTTTCTATATTTCTTCTACTAAAGAGAAAGTAGGGGAATCCACTATATTTATAGGACTGAGGTTATACGGAGCAAACAGCATCAAGGTCCAAAACATTGGTGCAGGTTTAGAGCCCGCACTTTCGAGAACAAATCTGAGGAAAATTATAGATGCTCCAGATATATTAGCTCAAATTAACTTGGCATAAGAATCGTATTACAAGCAGTCAATAGTTCAATAGCATTTGCACAAATATCCCTTCCCTTCTCTCTGAACCCGAAGAATAATAAGAGAGAAGTGAGAAACAAACAAGAAAGAGAATTAATATTGAAGGAGCTCAACATCGTGGACTGCTTGTCTCATGGTACAGATACTGTAGAAGAAAATCTTCAATAATTGACTCTAATCTTCATATGCAAGAAAAATAAGCAGTTCATTCCCAAGAAAGCAAAACATACTGACTTGCAAATTGTTGTGTGCTCATAAGAAACTGATGAAAATTGAGTTTTTAATTATTTTTTTACCAAGTATTTTCTTTATTAAATAAATTCGGAATTCAATTTTGATTTAAGACTATTTTTTGTTACTATCTGGATGGTAGTTGTTAGTTATGATTAGTCATTAATTAGAGTTAGTCATTTATTAGGATTAGTCATTAAATAGGTTTTTTAATTGTTATAAATAAAGGTTGTAGCCTTAATGGCACAACAGGTTTTCTGAATGGAAAAAAATATTAATTGTTGAGATTTTCTCCAATTTGTCGATCCTAAAACAATATTCATTAGGATCAAGAGTTTTGCGATCAAGATCAAGAATTCGATATTCTTTATGAAGAATCGATGAGTACTTAATTCCTAAATTCACGGTGTTCTTTGTGAATCAAAAGGTTTTTAGATCGTTTTGTTCATCAACGCATTCATCGCTTTCACGCTACATCAGTTGGTATCAGAACAAGTTTCGTCCTAATAACGTTCATGAAATTCAACGAAAAAAGTTATGATATATGATGATAACATTTTCGTTCCTTTCGATCCAGAGAAATCGATGAACATAGATTTGGCTGAGGACTATAATGGTCCGCCAATTTTTGACCAAAAAAAAAAGTTGAAGAATCTTTAAATTCTAGTCACGAAGGTCATCCAAGTTTTGATGAAGAAATTGAAGAATTTGTAAAATTGGGTAATGATAATTACGATGCACCTCCGATCAAGAAATTGAAAAATTTGTAAAATTGGGTAATGATAATTACAATGGATCCCCAATCAAGAAATTGAAGAATGTATGAAATCGTGTGATGACAATTATGATGTTTCACCTATTTTCAATGAAAATCCTGATATCAATGTCTCCGATATGTGGTCTAAAGAAATCAAAGTTGATTTTAAGTGCTACAAAAGATAATCAATAGATCTTGAAATGTCTGCCATACTTTGATCTTCATTCGGAAAGTTTTTTGTTGTGTGCCCAACAAATTTACCAAGTATTGTCATTACGAGGAATTGGAAGAAAAATACACAATGCAAAAACAAATCTTTGTCAATCGGAGGAGAACCATGAAAATTAAGTTTTTAATTATTTTTTAGTTAGTTTTTTTCTTTAGTAAATAAATTCGGAATTCAATTTCTCCGGGGACCGGCTCGGAGCAATCAAGCTCAAAGAGCACTAGATCAAGACTTTTAAGTTTAGTTATTTTCTAGATGTTAGTTGTTAATTAGGATTACTCATTAATTAGAGTTAAGTCATTTATTAGAATAAGTCGTACTTAGGTTTTTTAGTTGTTATAAAACAGGTTTTTTGAATTAAAATAAAATATTTAATTGTTGAGATTTTCTCCAATTTGTCGGTCCTAAATCCGTATTCATTAGAAACAACTATTTTGCAGTCAAGATCAAGAATTTGATATTCTTTGTGAAGAATCAACAAATATTTGATTCCTAAATTCACGGTTTTCTTCGTGAATCAACATCTTTTTAGATCGTTCCTTCTATTTTTCATTATTTATCATTTTTGCCCCTACATCAAAAACCAAGGAAGGCTAATTTAAATGTAAGCCACGCCAAGGAGCACTATGTCCTAAGCTGCAGCTTTCTAACATAGTTACCATCTTCACATATGAAAAAGAAAAGACATGCAAAATGAGAAGTCATGAGAACAAAATCAAGCAAAGCACTAGGGAAGAAAGGTGGAAGAAGATGAATCACATTAATAATCTCTAGAGATCAATTTATTTGATTAATTAATAGAACCACTTGTGATACTTCAAATGACGAATCAGTAAAATCTCAACTACATGAATCCTATTACTAATTAATTATTTTAGTGAGGCATGTATGAGATATAGTCTATCTAAATTCTTTTCACCCCTCATATTGTGGAAGATGATGAAGTTTCATTACTTTCTAAAGGGAAATGCCACTCCCAAAATCAGGTAAATCCCAGTATTGCTGCCACACCTAAAAAAATCAAGTATTACCTCTGCTGAGAGTGTGCGCAGTTCCTGATCACGAGCTGCTAACAAATGAGCAAGATCAACCTGCAAGGCCCAATACAACTTCTCAAATCTCAGCCATAGATTCGGTGTCAAAGGTGATAGGTTAAAGAACACAATTTCAAGAAAGTTACCAGAAAATGGAGAAACACATTTTGCATACTAGTCTACAGTTTTTGGGGCTACAAGGAAATATTTTTTAATAAAACTACACAGGGTAAAATACAATGTGAAATACTCAGTCTTAGAGATATCGGCAATTAATATTGTTTACATGAGTAATTTTTAGTTGACGTGAAAAATATCAAGCTCTCTGTTTTTGCAGAAAAATTATTCAGAGATTGGAGGGATGCCATTACACAAAACAAGCTTTTAGGATCTTCTAAGGTGAAAAGGTAAAAGTCTAAGTTCATTGAATTTTACATTATAGTGAGGTTTTACTAATATTTTTTTTATGTCATTGTCCAGATCCCCATCGGCCCTATAAATATTTCGTATCCTCGTATAGCATAGGGCTGCAAAGGACAACACAGCATCTAGATAAGTGTAAGATACTAACATGACATTCTCCTTCCTTCTGTCCAAAAAGTACATGATATGTGTTATATATTATTAATATTTCAAGGACAGTTATTACCTGAGGTGTGCTCCCGTCATCAGTTCTTTCATACTTGCTTAAGCATTCTTGCAACCTAAGAATCTACAGGGAATAAATAAAGATCAGGAGTCGTGACAAAATATTTTCTATCTACTATTCTTTTTTGTTATTCAGGGTCACACAGCACCCTTGTCCACCAACTCTGTAGTTGCAGAAGAAAAAACAACTTTGTACATTTACTAGAATTCACCACCAAATGCTCAAAGTTTCCAGCAATAGGAGAAGATTGCCAAATAAGTTTGTGTCGAAAATGAGATGCAGGGGAATATTTTGACTACAGTAAATCATAAGAATATCACATACCTCCTCACTCAAAAAGTGAAGGTTTTCTCTTTGATATTGCAACAAGGCCATTTGCTGATCAGAGAGCCGTCCACCATCATGATACCTGTCACAATACATAATAATCAGTGTTAAGTAAAAAAATCAATTTGGACCATACTTTATTAACCAGGATAAGAAACAGCCCAACTTGACACTATAATGCTTTACTGCACTCAAAATTCTGGAAGCACCCTATAGCTATTGATAGCTGTGTTTCTTCTTTAATCCACCTGCATAATAGTCAGTCAGCTTCTATCCAATTCAAGTGGGCACTAAATTAGCTACTTTTTCTTATAAGCGTCATATTAGAACTTCTGGATTTGGGTAGCTTGACGTTAAAAATAAAATTGTACTATCTAGTTCCAATAGCACTACAACACTTCTGCATTTGAAAAGGCAATGGAGGAGAATAAAGCCTCTTCATATGAATAACTATCCCAAAATAAAATAATATGGTCATTACTTAACTTATATGTATGCTCATCATAAATCTAAGTACAGAAATTCATATACTACAAACAGAATATCTGTGAATGGTTGTCCAAGCTAATGATAATGCATGACCCAAAATCTCTAACTTGATTGTTTCATAGCCTAAGACTGGAAAAGATAGTAAAAAGGAACAACTGGTTCATTCAGTGTCTCACACTCCGTGTGAAGGATACCAGGAAGAAATAATTAGGGAACGCGATGTTATGAGATGCAGCTAGCACAGAAGGCACTTCAACAGAGAAAACTCCAACACTTAAATCAAACATACAAATAAGGTTTGACATGCGGAATTAATATATACAACTCAAATACATTCTCTTTTTCATAAAGGTGACTAAAATGAACTTTAAAATTCAGTCTCACTCACAGCATTAAGTCAACTTGACTTCCCATGGTGAAAGAATCTCGAATGGTTATAGCAGCTTAAGGCTGCTGAATATTCAATGTCAATGTGACATTTTCAGCATGTAGTTAATTTATAGTTACAGTTAAAATGCTTTTAAAAATGAAGAAAATACAAAACAAGAGTTGTGTGTTCGTGCAATATTCAAATGTAACACTCCTTGTAATCCCTCATCCTAGATTATACATTCGTATAATTCCAAAATAATGCTGATCACAGAAAAGATGTGGGCAGAAGAAAAGATATGTTCTCATCCCCAATATATTAGTCACATTACAAAATTCCCACACTCTATTGTCAATCTGTTTCCCCTCCTCTTGCACTTTTTCTAAGCATACTTACGGTCAGTTGCCTACAAGTTGGATTTTGTGATTGAATTCTAACCTTGTTGGAGAAGAGCATCCTGAAGTCTAGTCAATAGAATAAACTAAGTGCACAGCAAAGCATGGAATTTGTATAAAATGTAGAATTTTAAGGTGAGTGCGATTTTTGTTGCGGCAGTGTTGTGGGTCCATATACTGTTTGCTGGCACCTCTTCTTATCTCTATAGTAACATAAAATTTGTATACAATGTAGAATTTTAAGTTGACTAGATCATGACTATGCCATTTTGGACATCCAAAAAATGACTTTATATTATCTTGTTATAATATCTTCAAATATTGGGGCATGATTACAGGAAATTTGTGCATTTTGACTATTTAAGTAGAATCTAGCAAATTGCATCTACATCAACATATATTGGTGATATTGTGATGAATTGCGCACTAACACTGCTAAAAAATCACTCGAAGAAAGTGTTAGAACGTCAAGAGTTTGATTCTGAGAAACTGAAACAATGGCTCAAATTTGAAAATATAAATTTGATAGATATATCACCACCTCAATCCTTCCAAAGAACTTGATTGTTGCAGAGGAGAATATAGTGAATTTAAAACATCAGGCTGGGAATCCAAAGAATTGTACTGGTGCACGTAACCTGTAACCACCAAAATTCTTTTGAGCAATAAAAATTGCCAGAAGTTAACTCATTCTCCATAGATTCACAAGCAAAGCATTTCAGGCTTCGAATCTTCAAAGGTAGATTCCAAAGCTAGTCCCCAGTTGGACTTATCACTATAATCAAAATCTTCTTTGTCTTTACAGAATCAAACTATCCTAAATTTAAAGACAATGTAGTTAAAACTTTTTTGTCAAAATAAAACCTTGGCCAGTAAGAAGAAAAAGGGAGTGCTTGACTCACAAGGTTACTCATGGCCGCTATTCTTTTGAGTAAGCTTATGTGCATCAATATAAACTTTGATATCATATAAAATTCCCACAGCCAGAAGAGGGAAGAAGTATTGTGAAAAAGTTCAACCGTTTAAAACAAGTAGTCCCACTTCTAAACCATTTTCCAGTAACATAGAAGTTTTCAGTTTCAATGTTTTACCAACGTCTGCATCCAAACTCACCAATATAAATGCTCATAAAAAAACCAGCACATATTGCTTCAACCAGCATAACAATCCTGCAAAGACAGTCAAGTCGTGAAATCATCGACAAAACCATAGTTACCTTAGGCAGCTACAAAATTATAACTCTTAACTTAACATGACATTCAATGGAGAATTCTTTATAGACTGTATTAAAAAAAAACAACCCAACCACACCTGCATAATTAGAATACCAAGAAAAGAGTATTATCATTCGCTAATGAGAATCAGTTACAATGACACGGCCAAAGAAATTTCATGTACAAGAATGAACCACAACTAGTTTTGGTTGAACATGCTTAGCGCACTTTGTTCTAGCTTCTCTACTGAGACTTTTGCCAGGTGGCCTGAGCTAAACTACCCTTTTACATAGAGAAACGTGAAAATAAATATCCATTATTTTTCTTGCAGTTTCTTATGCAATCATATTTAAGCATGTTTAGGCACCTTATTGAATGTTGGGCAAAGATAATTGATAATAACGTTGATGCAAAAACAAAGCCCTAAAATGTAAAAAGGTTAGTCATAATACTGATCTTAGACTGACCTAAAATTATCAGTTTTCCGAGCATCTTAAATACTTGACAAATAAGATGCCTCAGACACTCTCATGGGACAGGGAAGAGTGTACTTTCCATAACAATATTATCAAACTAAAAAATAACATATGTAGTGTATCGTAGTAAATATTACCCTAGATAATAATCAATCATAAAATTTGAATACATATACCTGAGTAAACTAGTGATGGAAAGAATATTGATATGGGGTTTCCAGACCACGATAAGCAGCATTGCAGCAGTTCCTGTTGAACCAAAATAAAGGTCTTAAATTTGTTTTACTTGCCTGAAAGTCCTATAAGCAAGGAAGGCCAATAAACAGGAAAGATTACCAGTACACTTAAAAACTTCGAAAACATAAGTTGATCTAAGACAGGCTGTGCGAGTGTTGAGAAAGTGGATTAAAACAAACTAACACTACTCTTATATTTTTTGTTTTTGCTTTGAAACTTTGTCTTATCTAATCAAAAATTTGTATATCCCCAACAAAAAAAAAAAAACCCCCAACATGAACATAGAAACAAAAGGGTAGGAGATAGCTTTAATTCTTTATAGCATTATGGGCATGCAGGTCAATCCAGACATATTTGGAATGAGCAGGGCAAAAAAGAAATAAATCAAACAACAAAGTTAAATCTCATATAAAACCAGTTCCATTTTCAATCTCCAACATGCACATAGAAACAAAAGGATAGGAGATAGCTTCAATTCTTTATAGCATTATGAGCATGCAGGTCAATCCAGACATATTTGGAATGAGCAGGACAAAAAAGAAATAAATCAAACAACGAAGTTAAATCTAATATAAAACCAGTTCCATTTTTCAATCTCCACACCTTAATAAAGTAATCACAAAAGTGGAATTCCAAACTCTTTCATACTTTAAGAAAAAATAAATAAATAAATAAAAGGCCATAGGAAGAATGAGTCCACTTATTAAAGACGATATTCAAGATTTAGTAACCCAATAGGGAGCTTATCTTAACACATTAGCCGCTAGACAATTTTTCACGAAATCAATTATTTTATGGTAAAATGATGAGATCAATACTAGGACTGGGACTGGTAGTCTCAGTCAAGTTAACAAGAGGCAGAACATGTGCACAATGAAGACATTCTAAGCAGACTGTTTTCCACAACCATGAGAAACTGAAAATAATACCATGGAGAAATCTAAAACCATTGGCAAGTAAATTCATCAGAAATCAAAGGCCAAAGTAGTGTTGATGCATACAAACCAATTGAACTGAAAGTAGTAAGAATTGGACGTGAAAGTGCAAGAGAAGCAAGTAATACATACCATATGCAATGGTGGCAAATGGTAGGCGAATGATATGCTTCAATTTTTGGCTGAAACCATAGTAACCCTAAAAAAAAAAGATTATCTCATGGTTCCAAACGGCACAAACCATCATAAATATCGCGATAGATGAACAAACGTATGATAGATAGTTAGCAGTCTTTATAGCTGAAATAGAGAAAATCAAAATTCTCCTATAAGGGTGATATTGATATATCATGCTCAATTTCATGGTAAGTTTTCTGCATTCTGTTGGTATGTCGAATTTGTATCCATAACAATCAATAAAAAGCTCATTTTTCAAATAGAAAAGGCATTATCATTTGCATCAGTACATGCACTGCAAAAATTTAATAATTTATAATCCACTCCTGTTTCTATATATTTTCTCGCTATTCTGATTTAATGTGACTGCAACCATCTCCTTCCCCTGGCCAGTTTCTCTCATTGTTATCTCATAAAGCTAAATACTTTGAATTGTACAATTGCATGAATTCGATAACCATCCCTCCATCTCAGTGTGATTATTATATCATGAAATTCCACACTTATGATATGCAACTCTATATATTATGGCAGTGCTTGGGATGACTTTATTGCATTCATAAAGGTTAAGCATGCGACATACAGGTATTTATGGCTCAAAATTAGAAAGCAATTCAATGAAGTCAATTAGACTTATATAATTCACCAGATGAAATTCATTTCAGTCAACATCAAAATTAAAATTGAGATATCTATATTATCAAATCCTGACCAATAGACTAGATCGATGCTGGAGAGCATTACTCGTGGAGATTAACCTGACCATCTAGCACCGACATTGTTATACAAATGTTGGAATCTACATAGCTATCAAGATATTGGTATCTCATATTCAGACCATTTCAACAAAAGCTATTTAATTTGAATGAAGTTTATTTCTGTAATGATGATAGGAATACGAAGATTAGTTACTGAGCAAAGCCAGAAAGCACTATTCTTGAAGATTAACCCAAGTATCTAGCACCGATGTTGTTATACAAATGTTGGAATCTTTGGATCTAATATTTTAAATGAATATTATTTTTGTAATGATGATAGGAACGAAGATAAGTTACTGAGCAAAGGCTTTTGAAAGTGGCATTTATTGGCAGATGGAGCAGAAGTTTTTAGCTTTTGAGTTTCACTTGAATATTTTAATAATGATACTTTTTTTCTGTAAGAAAGATGTATAACACGTTATAGCAAGCGATAAATGACATTTTATCATGATATGTCCGAGATCACATTTTACACTGTCCGATACCTTTCTGGTCACTGTGTTAACATGATAATAAGTAAAGTTCTATCCGAGAGTAATATATTAGTATTACAGTACAATTAATGGCACCCAAAAGAACAAAACTGATTCATGATTACATAATAGTACAAATGTTTAGAATAAATATTTTTATCAATTTAATTATGGAAAGAATTATCATATGAATGAGAACATTCTTTTATATAGCATGTATTCCAAAACAATAAAAAAAATCAATTGAAGTCTGTTATAATTTTATTGAATGAAAGAGGGTTGAGTTCAGTTCACATTTAAAAGAGAATTGGATACCTGAAGACGTATCTTCTGAACTTGGTAAACCAAATATTGCTGAAATATGCCTGTATATGTCATGAAAGCAAACAAGAAAACAGTCCAATGAACATCACAGGATAACAATATACAAGTTATATGTGACCATTATTCTCAGTCTATACACAATTATAGTACGATAATCAAGGCACTATCTGTGCATAAGGTAACACATGAATCCTATAAGCAATGATACATGGATGTTCCTGGGATGATGATGCCCAAGCTCCCAAATGAAACCATTGACGCATATCTAGCACACCAAATTGTGTCCAAATCATCAATAAAAATGATGCATATTGGAGACACACATATAGCAAAATTTGGATGCGGAGAATGTTAGCTGGAGGACAGTACACACGTCTCGATGTTGAAGATTTTATCACTACGGATATTCTTGTGATTTGCTACCTATTTAATGTTTTCTCCTTTGCTTGATGTCTTTGTGATGTACTTCAGATTATCCGTAGTAATGAAAGACAGGCCAAAATTTTTCCAATAAAGAATCATAAGCAAATTTTTCAGGTAAAGTTCAAAATGTAGTTCAACTCAAATGTGAAGGCAAAGATCTGCGAAAAAAACAAAGAAACTAAATATGAAAAAGAGATGCAATCTTGATAAATGACCTGTGACAACCAAAAGAATGACATCGCAACTGCAGAGCAGTAGGGCAATTAATCCTTGTATGGGATGGAGTATCCATGTAGCTCCTACAGCTAAAATCGCATAACCTGCCTAGAATCAAATAAAATCAGCTTTGCAATGAAATATTATTTGCCATATCATGCCAAGAAACTATAAATACTTGCCAATAAGATACAGTAGAAGAAGCTCCCAATGACCCTCGTTGGCTTCCGGTAACCAAATAAAGGAGCCTCTTGCATTATGTCGAGGAACCTATCATATAGCAGGAAGAGATTAGCAGAAAAAAATAAAACACTTGTTAATGTTGATTTGACTTACAACCATAATACAGGCCATTATAAAACCTGTTGAACCAAGAAGCAAAATTCTGCGAATAGGACGTGGTCTAACAATCTGAAGCCCCCCTCCTCTAACAAATTGGAAATCAACTCCTGATAGAGACCATTTGGAATCTAAAACAGGCAATTGAAAAAAAAAATGTTCTTTGATTTTAAGAGCCCAATATTCTTAAGAGGTATTTGAAAAACACCACAAATCATGCAAGCCTCAGAGGTCCATAAGGCTTGCTTACATCAAAATCTTAAAGAAGGATGGAAGGAACTTAATATTAACCTCGGAAAAATTTATGATGTAAGGGCTTCATCATATAAAGTTGATTGATATTATGAAATGTATCCCATGAAATACCACGCCCTGTTCCATCTAAATTTTGTCAGGAAAAAAAACCCTCCGTTTATCTACTTCCACTTAAACGCAAGAACCAATTCGTGCTCATAGTTATAGAACCGTACCACATATACCCGAAATCTCGCATCATTATCACTCTGAAATCACAAAGAAATGCAACTGCTCTACATATACCTTAAAAAATAAGACAATTTCAATAGCACTCAATAACAAAATGGTTCAAACAAATTTCACCGTTGGAAAACATTGCCTAACAGTTCTGATTCAAATTAACAGAGTAAATTCATTTCTAAACCCCGAAAAATATGGGGAAAAAGATATTGTAAATTTAAGAGAAGGAATCTTACATGTGATTTTCATCAGGTGCAGAGATAGAAGAAGAGTGTCTATCTGTTGACATTATTTCCTATTTTTCTTTCTTAATTTTTGAACTGATTTACACCTTCTTCCGAGGCAGCCTTCGACTGGGATTCAAAACTCGTTTCCAGTTACAGTTTTCTTTTTGTCCCCAATAGAATTTGTTTTTCTTGTTGCACTGCCCATGGGAAGCCAATATACGGCTAAATGTGCTTTTTTCCAATTTCAACGAGTTAACCATAATTAAATTTTATTTTATCGAGTAACTACATTTTAGGTTGAGTTTGAGCCACATTATTTTGAAAAAATGTATTCTGGAATAATAGATTATTACCGTTTCATGCCCATTGTTCAAAAACAAAAGTTCAATCCACCATCATTTGGAATAGTCATAAAACTGTCTTCTCTATTCTTAGGGTGTGTTTGAGCCACATTATTTTGGAAGAATGTATTCTGGAATAATAGATTGATGAAGAATGTGTGGTTGAAAAAGAATGAAAAGTTATTGATGTGATGGAAAATAGTATTTTAATAAAGAATGTGTGGTTGAAAATGAGTAGAAGAATGAGAATGAAAATTTTAATGGGTACAAAACAGGGACTTAATATAATTTGAATCAAACGATTTTAATTCAATTTGATTTTGATTAAATGATTGTACTTTAATTTCATTTCAATTATGATAACTTTGTTCAATTTCACTAATAATAATTTACAACACCACTATTGATAAATGATGATTGTTACATGTAAATGTTAGTTGTTGACTAGAAATAATTGCAATTTTATTGACATAAATGGTGAAAATCATTTGTTGATTGTAGGCTTCAACATTTTAATCGAAATCGAACCTCTCGAATCGAAACCAAATCAGAATTGAGAATCAACTGGATCCGATGTTAGTTCTTGATTCTTGAACCAAAACCGTGAATGTTCGAATGAAACCGATTTTTTTATATGACTTTTTTTTTTTTTATCTCTCACAATTTAAGGCTATGTAAAAAAAATCCAAAATCTAAAAATTTTAATTCGGGTATTAATTTGTATAAAACTCTAGAATTTAATCCTAAGAAATCAAGTCTGGTTTCTATTTTTTTGCCTCTAACCTTGCGTCAATCTTTGCAATTTGAGTTTTCTATTAATCAAAAGTTAGGGTTGTGATGTAAGTTAATGAATCAAAGCATTTATTTTTTTGCAATTCAGGCTTTTGGTTTTCTTACATTGTTTACAAACGTAAGCCATGTTGGGTGACCTTTAATTTAATGTAGTTCACTTTAATTTATTATTCATGCTCGTTTTCAACCACACATTCACATAATAAAATATTCTGCATGTAAATTTATAATTTTTCTCTACTTTTTAACCACACATTGTCTAAAAAAAATTGTTCAAATATATTTTTATTTATTTTTTTTTCAAATTAAAAGCCACCAAAGTGATTTTTTACTCTTTTTATAACGCTCAAAATGTTAATCTTTGCCATTTAGGTTTTCTATGAATCAAAAGTTTGGGTTGAAGTGTAAGTTAATTAATCAAAGTGTTCATTCTTTATAATTGGAGCCTTTTATTTTATTCATTGTTTGCAAATTTAAGTGATCTTTAATTTTTTTTTATAACATTTGAGCGTTGTGGTGTACATTTTTTGTTATTTTGAATTCGTGATTCTCTTGATATATAATTTTTCTTTTTCATTCAAATAAAGTGAATTTGTGGATTGTAATTCGTTGATAATACATAGTTATGTATCTAATTATTATTTTTTTATACTTCAGTTCATTTTAATAGTAGAAAAATTTTAACCCACATTTGATTCCATTTACTTTAATTTTATTTATTTCTCATACTTATTTTCAATCGCATATTTATACAATAAAATATCATATACGTAAATTCAAGATTTTTCCTTATTTTTTAACCACATTCTCCAACTAAGTATTGTGCATAATTAAATTATGGGAAAATTGAAGCAACGGTCCTTAACATTTTCAATTTTTGCAAACTTTACTCTAACATTCATTTTGTACCAGTGGGGGTTCCTAACCATTCATAAATATAAGTTGGGATCCATTTAGACGAAAACCGTCCACTTTTCCATTAGTAACCAAGAAAATGGTTTTGACCACATTATTAATTATTTTTGTAAGGGTAAAATGGTAACTTTACATATTTACGTATAAAAACAATTAAAATAATTAAATAAAAAAACCATAATCTTCCACAACTACCCCATCCCATCCAAACCCCTACCCCAAAACCCAACCCGGCTACCTATCGCTGCCCAAATCAGTCCACGGTCGTCAAATCCACAACTTCTACCACCTCTGCTACTCTCTTCTTCACTGTCAAATGGAACCTAAATGAGAAATCAAAATCAAAATCGAAGCCACTATCACCTTGCTTCAAAATCGAAGCCATCACCACCTCCAGCTGTAATGGCAAGCTACTCCCGTCTGCATGTGAAAATAACTTAATTTCTGACCATCCACCAATCTCGAGTTCAATTTGCGATTGTCATTCCGCTATAAATGGCAAGGCATTTCTTCTCTGATTTTCAAAATTCCCTTCGAATCTTGTGTGGCAATTGAGCACTAGAGCTTGGAGAAATTGTAACAACGTGAGCGCTCCTCAGGTGGCGGCTGCTTCGTGGTCTAATTGTTGGAAAAACTGGATAAACTAAATTAAATGGCTGACTTTGGCACTAATTTTGAGCGGGACCCGCTTGACTATTTTGAAATATGAAGGTTGATTTGTTTTCTCCTCCATGAGTACATCGAAATCATATACTTACTTGTAAAAAATGATGCTCGGGTGAATGAGAAATTGAAACTCAAAGTATGCCATGTGAAATGAGTTTGTTGGTGGGAAACTAAATATTTAAGCTTTGTCCCACATAGGAAGTGGATGAAAGTTAAAACCACTTTATAAAATATTGCACTTTAAAATGGTGTAATCATGTGTAGCATAGAGGCTCTCTCCATGCGCGCGC